TAGTACGAGCTAAGCCTGGTAACATCCCCCGGTCGGCGAACACACCTACACGAAAAGATAAATCGCTCTCCCAAAAAACCCCAATTTAATTCCCGACCGCTATTCTGATATGTGGAACATAAATGTGTGTGTAACATTTCCTGATTATCCAATCAGATTAATGTAATAATTTGTTGCTATGCATCTTTAAATGTCGTATTGTTGCTTAAAATCTGCATCATAAGCATGATGTGTCATGCACATGGCTTTTTGTCATTCATCAAATTATTATAACCTTTGGATAGAGACTGATTCAATTGACTTTTGTCAAGAACATTTGTATATTAAAAGCTGAGTAGATACCTCATTCAGTTTAATTAATCCCATTGTCCACTTTTAATAATAACCTACGTTAATCTATCTAACTTCTCCTTTTGAAGATAATAATTCATTTTTTTCAATACTTCATACGCCATAAGTTCTGTCAAATACACAAAAAGGAACTGAATTCGAGGAGAAGATATATAATATATTGCTGGAAGCCGGATACGATGTGGGGGGGGGGGGTGAGTTTTCACTGAGTATTTGTTGAATAGTCTTTGAAGTTACACTGCCACCAAGAATGTAGAAAATTGAAAGCGCAAAGATAGCACTCAGGTAAATGCTTGATGTAGGTATTCGAAGGTATGCTGCCACTAGGTGTAAATCGGAGTTTTCGAAATAGCACAGAGGGTGCAACTAAATCGAAGCTTCGTTACCGAAAACCGACAGTGAGCATTCACGGGCGTGGTGAATAGAATACCTTTAAAGCACGCAATTTCCTGATTATGGCAATCTTACGGTTGTGAACGTTCTTTCCTCTGTTACTCGCGTGGTGAATAGGACACTTGATACACTATAATGCCTGTATATCTTGATAATAATGATACATATACTCATTAAATTTAATATCACATTCAGGAAAGGCAATGGAGGAGTGGATCTAATTGTACGCTATATGAATTGTAAGGTTGTGATCCAATGTAAAAATTATAAGAGAAAAGTTGGTAAGTTTCCAAACTACAGAAATTATTTTAATAAAAAACTAATTATTTTTTTAAGGCCCGGATCCAGTTCAAAAGATGAGAAGAGTGCTTGATAAATGCATATTTCTACGGGACTGTTACATCAACACAACAATCAATGTAACCTGCTCCCACTCTAGAAAATTCTCTGGATCCATCATCCCTCCCTCACGAGTACAATTGCTGGAAAACCGAATATTACTGAAACAACCGTTTCCTTCGATGTCTTTCTCAATATGTTAAAACCAATACAGGGGGTACATATCAACCCTTCACAATAATGGCATTCCATTCAACGAAAACCAAACACCTATTAAGTCGGACGAAGGCTATAATACCGGCTCTCGAATAAAGATTGAAGGCGCAATCATTTACTGCGAATTGCAACATTCAACGTTTGTCATCCCAAAAAACAATACAACCACCAATGACACGAGCTCTCCAGTCTTTCCCTCATCATCTCGCCGAGCTGCAACCGTCCAAAGCATCGCGGAACATTCACCCCCAACAAAAAAACCAAAACTTTCCCTTTTAAGTACCATCGCGTCCGAAAGTGCTCAATGCAGGATGAAGACGTGTCGAATAATATTCAACCTGAATCTATTAATCCAAGCAAAAGAACCTCGTCAAATACGTCTAAATCCAGACGAACAACTCTACGAGATTTATCCTCTCGGAAGTTAGCGTAACTGTTTATCAATGTCGGAATTAAACAGAATAGCATATTAGTTATTGGTAAACATTGTCTATATTTTATTGACCTATATATGTTTAACAATTTTATACGATCAGACATTCCCCTGTTCCCTTTTTTTTGTTAATTTTTTAATAAATCCATCATCTTCCTACATCACTAAAGAACATGTGTTTATCCATTCACAGCACTCATAACAATTTAATCTATCAAATACACGTACTAGTATGGTTGATATATACTTCCTAAAATATATTTCATATTCATGTATTTCTTCCAACTTTCCAATGAAAGAGCGAACTATTGAACAAATAAAACACTGTTTGGATAACCAAGACACACCGGTGTATAAACTATTATATAACTCAAACAGGAAAAAGCAGATTTTGTACTCACTCTCCAATCGTTGTCATCTAATAACTGATTCTACTCTAAATAAAAAGTATATGTATATCGATATCAATAAGAGAAGAGAAACCCAGGATTTTTTATGCACCGAACTGCAAGACAAACCCTGATCATCAATGCCTTTGTCCCAATTGCTTTATTATTATTGTTGGTGAGTTAGAGGCTTATGGCCAGGACTGTAAATTCATGTTATTGTATAAGTTAACATAATAATATTATTATTGCTCGTTGATAATTTACTGTACTGTGAAGAAATGTATTGTGAACGAATAATAAAAGCTACTCAGTTTCATTACTGCTACGTTGTGATGATCCTCTACACATACGTTAACGCGGGACGTTATGCTAAATCAATATATTCTCGAAACTGTATGTGGGCTGGTTCGAACTTTTCAAATGTGGAGAGTAAGCTCCGCGGTTTCCGTTTATCCTTGGAACACATAGTCTAGAAACTGGCAGAATAATAATTCTTTATTGCTACAAGACCGCCAATCCCATAGCCACTTAAGATTGTTCTGGACAACATTAAAGACCTTAATTAGATGTCAGTTAGGATCCACTACTGTTACCAACACATTACATCATACACGGTTCCAACAGACACTTCAATTTCACATACAAAATATGCGTTGTTCAAATTAAGCTAATTTCCAGGAACTAATATTACATCTATTGAGATTAAGTGGTTGCTATTAGGGAAGCCGAATTACTTCATACAGATCATTACCACAAGTAGTCGGTTTATTTACCAAAACGGCTCTATCTTCAATACGTAACTTTTGTCTATGCCAAGTAATTCAACTTTGATGGATCATCTTTGTCACGTTCAAGATATTCACGATCGATAAGTGATTCTATACGCTTCTTAATATCGGCAACCTGTCAAATAAAAATTGCTTCATGTAAGATGCTATCTCAGGTAAAAGAATAACAAACCGATGAAGGCCATGTTCCTTACTGTAGCTTTAAACTTGAGTTGTTGAAACAATTCGGTTATTAGTTGACTATGGTTAAGTGTCTTCCGCATCTTCATTATGCGCACAAGAGCAGCATCCACTTGATACTGACGGTCAAGAAATACACGCTCTGTTGTGATTGAGTTCTCTTCAGGCTGCAGAAATAAAACCAAGTTTACAAACCAATGTCAATAACGTCGACGTCTGTATAGCCTACAGCCAGCGATTAATTAAAAGAATTTATATTCATTATTTTCATCGCCTTACCGTTTCCTTCAATTGTATTGCGTTAATCCTAATACGGAACAACTTGTCGTCAAATTCTTCGTTAAATGAAAATTCATCTGAGTCGGCAATATCACGCCCTTTAGGGTGCTTAGTCAATACACGTACTTTGCCACATGCTAGTGACTGAAGAGTGCGTGCTAACTCTCTTGCCTCTACAATTAATAATACATAAATATGCTAAATATTTGCCACGCACAAATAATCATTACATTACAGTCCTCAAGAAAATTATTAATAATTACCTATAGAAGTACTTTCTTTGATATCCTCATATGTCAGCCGCTTGCCTGGTTCGAGATCGTTAAAAAGCAATAGTACGACTGCCTGAAACAGACTTACTACCAATTCTTTGTTTCTCTAAGTTCGGTTCATTAATTTGTTATTCATCATTTATAATGTTCTTAGATATACGTGTACCGGGTCAAATGCTCTATTACTTGCCTTTGGGAAATTAGCTGCCAATACACAGAGTCCAAGTGAGTTTTGCCACTTTAGATTTCTACCATTATGTTTGCTTAGATAAAACGCCTTAAATACTTCCTGAGCCCGGGCCATCTATGCATTGGGTTATTATAAATCATTACTATAAACAAACAAAGATAGTTATCACAGTTTGCTGGACTCACATGAGGTGGAAGAGTAAGCGGTGCTGGAGGATAAGTAGGCCAAAAGCCTTGAGTTAACACATTCACAAATAAATCAATACGTGTCTCTTTCAATTCCGACCAGTACTTGGAATCCTGAAATGAAAATCAAATGTTAAATATAAAAAGACTTTCTTAGCGACATTATCATCTCATGTTACCTGGAAAGACATCATAATATCACGTGATAAATCAATGTCTTTGAACATTCCCTCAAGCTTCCCTGTGAATCCAGCACCACATTCTAAAAAATAGCAAACGTATATGGGCTTATTACGAGATATATTACCGTATATTAAATCATATTTATCGTACGTACCCTGCTTAAGTTTAGATAACATGCTCTTCTCGGCATCAGATGATGCACTCTTGTTTAAAAGAAGCCGCTTAGCGAGGTCCCTTTTGTAGAAAGCTTCAAAAATGTCTTTGCCTATGTGAACATATAAATTATGCTTTTGTTCATCATTAAACCCATCAAATTACCCCCATCAAAATACAATCATACCCTGTATATATCTGAATAATATAAGCACATTATCCAATACACTTTCTAGTTCATCATCATTCATACTCTTATTGCCAGATCGAAGCTTGCTATCGACATATTTAGCTAATAAACATATAGTACAAAATATACCGATTAAACAATATTGAGATAAATGTAATTATATTCAGTAATATTGGCATGAAATTATTAATCATTATTACCTATAAGTTCTGCCGGTTTGTTCTGACGCTGATTTATAAATGATTCGAAGCTCTCTTTCACGGTGTTGACAAAATTCTCGGTTCCTTTGAAAGCATCCTTTACAATATCATCTAATTTGAACTTCAAATCAAGGAGATCTTGCACCATTGTAGAATCACGGCTCTCATCCATGACTATACCAGCTCCAGTTTTCTTTAGTGGGCAATGTAAAGAACGAACAAAGATTAGCATAGAATATATATATATACTAAATTTATCTCCTGTTCATGTAGTACCCGAAGAAAGAATCCATTCGGCAATGTCAACATACCCTAATGTACATTCCAAAGGCGGTCTTCAGTCGATCAGATGCATTAACCCGATTGAACAGCATGTATAACCGCCGCAGATCACTATTCTTACGGTAATTCATCATATCATCAAACCCTAAATAAACAAATCGTGTAAATTACGTCTTTGTCGATCACTACTATAGCCTCTAGTATGCACTGTCTTTCTCACCTTTGTCTAAGATGGCACTGATATGGCGCTCAAGTAATTCGCCTTCGACAACACCAATCAATGGGGTTTTTGTCTTCTTATCAAGATAAACAATTATCCTATCCTTCTCTTCATCCAGCCGTCGTTTGACATGTTCGAGATACTTTGGTACTTCAAGTGTATTCATAAGACGCTGCCCTTCTTCTGCGTAGAAGTCATGTGTGTCCTGTAGGAAGGGAGCTTCAAAGCCCTGTGTATATATTGACAGGTCCACATACATATGAATGAGAGAGACCAGTAAACTACGATCAACGGATTCACCAAGTCTGTTATAAGAAAGAGTGATGAAACAATTACAGTTTCAGATTGTTGACAATAACTGCATACAATATTAATGATATCAAAGATGATTTGGCAGTCACGCCGTTATCATTATATACCGTTCGCGATGTATTACGGACAACAGTCCATCTAATGTCTTCCCACGCACATCAACAGCTGACATTATGTGCCTTCGAAACAACTCTAGGCCCATATCCCTTGGAAATATTAAGCCTAAAACATGAGACATTTCAACAAGGAAATAAATCTAGTCTAATGAGTAAAAAGAATTGAGTAATGCTTACCACAATGATATTATTGATGAGTTCTGGAGAACGTATGTGCGATCCAGATACAAAAATATACTTCGAATCAAGGCCTACAAGATAGCAGAAAATAATTTAACGATTAATTCGCCACTGCACTCAGATGAATAGAGTTCGGCATATATAACTGTTAAAACCAACAATCTTAAAAACATAAGATTGTATCATCGCTCTTGATTCTAGTTGACGTTGTCTCAATTGTGAATTGAAGAACACTCATATATCCCGTCAAATGATCTGACGCACATCAACACTAAAAGCGTCTCATTAGATCGCGTAAATATATTATGTTACAACGTATAATATTATTACCATTTGCTGTTGACAATCATTCCAGCACTGATTCACTGCTGCTAAAAAAGTCTCCTTGTCACTCTCATTGCTATAGAGTATATTGTATTCATTATTAGTATGAACGTAATCATTGAAGCATTCTGTCCATATAATGGCAAGTCAGCCAAGAATGACTAATCAACGTACCTTCTCAATTTAGCCAATTCTTCTATTATATGGGATTCACACTCCTTTTGCAGTCTCTGATATAATCTATCGGCCATCTTATGCAGACATAGATTCTCACATGCCTTATACAACTCCTCAAGACTATCATTGACGGGTTTGCTCGTATGAATCGCCCGAACAGCGGCTTGTAGCTTGGTCCATGTCACTTCTTCAAAATTGTCTGGTAACTTTGGCTTCACTAATAGGCAACAGAAAGCATGATCCATTCAATGAGTCATTGGACATCATGTAATGATACAACGCCGAATATTACATACATATCGGGATGCATAGTTGCAGGAATGCTAAACTCGAATCAAATAATCGTTAATACCTTTAAAAGTCCTTATTACCAAC